GATGAAATTACCTCGCGGGTTTGGTTATCTCAAAAGCCGGCGTATCGGAAATTCAGCTGATAGTTTCAATTTTGTTTGTTGACCTTGAAAATTCAGCACTTTTGTAATGGACTTTAAGAAAAACGTTATTTCTTGGACGAGCACATGTGTCTTAAAGCAATCACAACGACCAACCAGAGAAGAGGAAAATACCTTTGAGAACTAATGCGAAACAACCAAACAAACTGTCAAAAGCGCGGGAAAAGGCGGGCGACCAAGTCGTGATTGATTTCAGTCTTGCTTCTGATTGGTCGAGCGGGTGGCGCAAGTTTTCTGCGCCAATCACAAAGCGAATTAAAGCAAAACCGATACAATCTCTTTTGAAATGTTTTAGATGATAAGTTGTTTTCTTCTTTTACAGACTGCAGTCTTGGTTTGGGAATGATCACAGGAGACATCCGGGACTCTCAAATAACCGCCTCGTCTTCATACTCAGAGTGGACGCAGCCATTCGCCGGCAGACTTTGGAACACGAGGTGGGCTGAGTGACACAAGTTTTTGAATCACACTCAAGAAAAACTGACATACGTTTAACACACACTTAAAACTCGCCGGTGGTGGTCTAAGAGTCATAAGTCACAAAGTTCACACTCTGAGAACTCGACGACATCACTAAATAAGGTGTAATCAACAACACGACACGGATGTGCTTCAAAAACTTTCATTTGAATGGTAACACACTGTCGAAACTGAAATTAAAGCTTCTTCAGCTTGCGCAGTATAAGTAAATAGCTCCACATGAAATTATGACCCACGAGGTTGAAGGGGAATAGCTATGATCACATACTACGCTTTCAACAATCGAAACGTCAGTTTTAGAAACTCTTTACAACTGTGGTGGCCAAGATACATTATCAACTCAGTTAATAAAAACAAAGCAGTAATCGTTTCATCCACAGACGTATTCATTAAGGACACTTTGTGATGCACAAGAAACAACACCACTTGAAATAACTCCTAGAAGGGCCTAAAGGTCTTGAAGGGACCAATCCGCACACATTAAGGCTTGGATCATAAACTTTTGGGGTAAAAGAGCTTTGAAAAGTAGAGAAAAAGTTCTGCTTGAAAAGCTGATACCTCATGAATTTTTCATTGTAGCCACCGCAGAGATCTATTAACAAACCCAGTGCTAGAGATAACTCTCAAGTTTTACCGATCTCTTTTTCCCCGATTTAGGCGCCCTCATGGCCAAACTTTCGGTGGCTGGTGTGCGACAGATTGGGATCGCACTCCATATTTACAAATTGATTTTGGACAGGAAAGTGTCATAACAGCTGTGGCCACCCAAGGATTGGATTATCCGTCGGGAAACTGGGTCAAAAAGTACTCCTTAAACTACAGTTGTGATGGAATGAATTGGGAAACATACCAAAATATGGACAAAGATACGGTACATCAAACGCAACTATAGATGAAATTTTAAGTATTTATTTTTAAGAATTCCTAGCCAATGTTAGCTTGTTCGAAGCTAAAGAAAGAAATGTAATTCATTATTCGTCTACTTTTCTAATGAAATTGTTTGTATTTTTCATTCTCTTAGAGGTTGCGCGGGAACAAGGATGACAGCTCAGTAGTGACAAACAAGTTGGATAAGGCTATCATAGCACGATTTATTAGAATACTTGTACGAGAATGGAATGAATATGGCATCGTTTGCATGAGAGTTGAAATGTATGGCTGCAACACAGAAGGTAATATCAAACGTTTCTCAATTACGTTGCCACTTTTCCTTCTCACGCAGTATGCGTTTTTCGCTGCTCAGCTTTACAGATGGTTACATTTTTCAGCGTCGCGTTCTTTTGGATAGTTCTCTTGTTTATGCTTGTCCCTATATTATTGCCTGAATCAACAATGTACACTTTCTTAAGAAACTTTCCAACATCTTTAACTTAAGTGTAGTCTTATCGTCCAGGTGGGTGTAGTCCTGAGAAGGACTGTTGTCGGTTGCGGAAAAAAAATTATGATTTTTAGTAATAAAGTAGCCTAAAATGTTCCTAGATACCAGTAACACGCTAGTGCAGGAATCCTTAATCCGTAGCTATGTCAATTAAAATTATAGATTATAGCAAAAAATTAACCAGGTGAGCTCCCAAATACCAATACCTAAATACCATTATTGGTGTTAGAAACCCTTCGCCACCCCTTAGCTTTATCAGAAAAAAACTGATGATTCCCAGTAAATTAAACAACCTGGTATGCTTCCAAATGGCACGTATACTTAGAGCCCGCCTACTATACTCTCCTTGAAAATCCTACTTATGCCATTAATATAATTTACTTTCTCTACTAATCCATCCACAGAGGGTGGATATAAAGACTGCAACGCTGCTGCCGGAATGGAAAGGGGCCAGATATCAGATAAACAAGTGACAGCATCCAGTTTTATTCAGGGGCACCACCCGCATCAAGGCCGCCTCAATAACGTTTTCAAGCAGGTCAATGGCTCTGCTCTTTGGGGAAGCTGGTGTGCACAGAACGTGGACACGACGCAGTATATCCAGGTAACAAAATTTGGCCTGTCGATTGGGAATTTTGTGCATAGATCTTTGAGAGAGGGATAGGGAGAAAGGGCTGTCAGCGGTCAAAGGTATAAAAAGACTCGAGGATAAAAGGGAAATGTGGGTTTTACCTGTCGTAGATCAAGCGTACTCAGCAAACGCGTGAAGCTGAAGCCCAAGTAAAGCGGCATCCTTATTAATTTAGCGTTGTTAGCATAAGGCATCTTCGTCTGGGCGTCGGATCGTTTAATTAAATGGACTTATTTACACTGCATCCAGGGGTAAGATTACACTTACATCTTTGTGCTACAATATTTTTCAATTAAGTGTCATCGCACCGTACCCAGAGTAACCAAAATAGCAATCAGATGTAACGAAAATATCTCAAAAAGCCAATGAGAATTCAAAGTAACTTCAAACTGCTTTAGGCGCGGGAAATGGCAAGTCACCAGTCGTAATTCATAATGCATGGTGAACGGTCGTGGAAACTAATAATTCGCTGAGGTTAATCTTCTATGGCCTGAGGAGACTATCAGCAATCCTAATCGCCTCATGCTTGGTTATGCTAAGGGTCCTGGGAAAAAAACTAAAGATGGATACAAGGCTAGTAAGACCTGATGCAACAGACAACTTGTAGATTGAAATAACTTTTTAAAGAAAATGACGAATTTTCGCTCTCTCTTAGGTTGATTTGAAAGAACTTCGTAACATCTCTGGCGTTGCGACACAAGGATCTGTTAGCATGGGGACCTGGGTAACAGAATACACGCTAAATTATAGTTCAGACGGCTTACAATGGCAAACGTACAGCAACGAAACTGGAATAGCAATGGTAAGAATTCTAAAAAGCATCTTTAGAACATGCTGAGATGCATTCTGTGTTTTAACGTAAGGCCTAAATTCGGAAGTCGCCGTTACTTTAGGCAGCTTTGACTTATCACGACTTAAATAACCCTTCATCCCTTCTTAGTTGGATCTAATTTCTCCTTACAGTGTCATGGCTGACTCAGACATTAAGGTCATGAGAATAAGTAAAATGATCGCTATCTAGAGATGCTTTTAACTCCCCTTGTTGATACTATAGGAAATTAATACAAAGCAGTATGGAGAGTGCACATGCTGGTGTTAGTGTGTTAAGGGTTAAATCAGCTTAAGGCGACGCAGCAATGTAGCTGACGGATCTCAATAAGAGAATGAGAAAAAAAATTGAGCTGAGGAAAAAAATCACTTCTGAGAAACTGTGACAGCGGATAGTCGTGCCTGCCAAACATGACACAGATAGAAATTACTCTAAATTTAAGAGAATTAAAAGTGGATATCAGGTGAAAAATTCGGAAATTCATTACAGACAAACAGCCATCAGTGATTGAGGATTGGTTGAGTAAATATTGCAAGGTTTGAAAAAAAATCCCACTGCGTGGCGTAAAGGAAACAAACACATAAGTGATAGACTTTCGGTTAACCATTGAACAGCTTAGTTTTTGAAACGATAGTTCACTATACTTTTGCTTTGACTCCTAGACGCTGCGAGGAAACTGGGACGAGGTGACAGTTCATAAGAACATGTTTAAGCGACGCATAAGCGCGCGTTACCTCCGTTTTAATCCAAGGGCCTGGACACCACTCGGGCAGATTTGTATGAGGGTAGAAATTTACTTGTGCCAGATTTATCAAGGTGAGTTTCTTCAATTATATTTATTGGACCCTTCAATAACAAGTTGGAAGAGAAAAACGACATTTCCGGTTCCAATAAGAACTTTTGCGGCATTCAAACATCTTGTCCCTTGACTTTCTCTTGCAGTTGTCCTATCAGAGCTCCCTTAAAATTCACATCTCTTTTCGGTTGATAAATCAGAGCTCTGGTTCCATTCACCAAACGTTTTAGTTCACCGCTCAAAGCTCTTCTTTCCTTCACATCTTATTTGCTTGACCTATCAGAGTTCTTGTTCTACCTACAGACCTTTCAAGCTGACCAATAAGAACCATTGTTGCATTCGCTTCCTTTTTCGGTTGATCAATAGAAGCTCTTGTTAGAAGTTAACAAATTTTCTTTTTCGTGGATATTTCAGGATGTTCCAAGCCCACAGAGCGGAGTCCAACCGAAACTTCAACAACCTTCTCCGACAAGACATTTCCTTCCACAAGAAAATTAACACCCAGTGCGACTTTAAAATCGTCTACAAAACGTACAAACCCGACTGTTGCAAGCGAAAGCGTAGCTAGAAAACTTTACTCCAAAGGATTCAGAAGAAAAACGACTGACACCATTTGCCTTATGGCTGCGTGGTTATTGCTGATGGTAAATTTGTTAGTGGATTAACTAATAACAAGCAAATTGGATTTTATGTTCAACTGGGATTTTATCAGGGACACAAGCAAAGAAATGCGCTTCATTAAATGATAAAGAAGTCAGATAAAGAATAAAGCTGATATACTGCTCCAAGTTGAATATTGCAGAGTTAAACTGGGGTTATGTCGACCGAATGAGAACAACTGCACAAAAAATATTTGGAAGGCTTCAAGACCTACAAGGCACCATGTAAAATTTCCTGTAAAAAGATTCTCAGAGGAACGGTGAAAATATCCAGAATGGGGCAACAGTGATAAAACAAAAAGCGCAGTTTAATTTGATACAGAGTAAAAAAAATTATGAACCACTAAAGCTACGTCTTGAATAAATACGTATAAAAATAAATATCTTATTTCACAAGGAGTAGCAGAATTGTTTGATTATTTACATTGCGTGTGCTTTGCGCAAAAAAATGTCCTTTGAATATTGCCTAAAGAAAGTACATGAGATTGAAACTACACAGAAGAGGAGTAAAGTTTCAGCAATATTTTTATAACCTAGCCATTATAATTTACCTGAGGCTAAAGTGGAACCTACTTTCAGGGGCACCCCTAGGACTATAAAAAAATCCCCTGTATAGAGTTAACATATACCGAATAATCTCAATTTAGGGGGGCACCCTTGGTACTACAAAAAGAGTCCCCTGAATTTGGGATGTCCCTTTCTAAAACCACGAAAACATTTTTACAATCGGGACCACAGGTTCTGTTCTTTGAATAGGGATGCCCCTGAAAGAGGTGTTAAAAAATAGGTTCCATTGTATTTCAAAATCGTCTTATATATATTTAGAAATATTCCGTTTTCACAATTAACGCCGAAGGATCCCTTAAGTAATCCTGAGCAAATTTTATAATCTGCTGGGAAGTTATCTGATTGAGCCGCGCCTGGATTCTAGTCCCCATACCATGTAGCTCTTCGATAGGAGGATAGAAAGCGGCATGTTGATGATCGTCGTGTTGAATGATACATAGCCGAGGATAGTGGTAC